GCTTATTCCGATTCGTACTGCTCTAAGCCTCCATCGCTTATACATTTATTTTTTTTAATTTATTTATGCATACAAGAACCGGGGTACAGGCCAGAGGTGTGTGTGGGAGGAGGGTAAGAGGATTCACCAGAGACAGAGTGGGTAAAAGAACAGGCAGACTGACTGAAATACACTTTTGAGGGGAGCAGCGGGCGAGTCAGGAGAGGTCTGCTGCACCATGTGGGCAGCTCCGGGCCTGAGGATCGAACTCATGTTGCAGTGACTGTGGCCGCTTCATAGGTTGCGTCTTAACCCCTTGTGCCACCAGGGAGGTCCCCACTTACACATTTGAACATCCAGGTCACCCTTCATGCACCTGAGCTTACCAGTCAGACCATACTCTCAGTCAACAGTTTGTGTGTGCCCTTTATGAATTTAAAGACTTAAATATGGATCCATTTTTCTCCGCCCAGTTTGGTGTCGAACCAAGCTCAGCCTCTCTTGCAAATGTGTCTGTTGCAAGTGCAAGGGGTGTATGCGAATAATAGATTTTATCTGTGTAGAAATCACACTTGATGGTCCGTAACTACCGTGCTTCTCCGCTCATAAAACACCCATCTCAATTAGCGAATTAGCAGCCCAGCAAGTTGGTGCCAAAGATGTGAAACCTTGAGAATGTTCATTGCGGCTAATGAAAATATGTTTAGCGATGACTTGCACTAGCAAGAAATTGGCTTATTATTGTCTACTGTATTTGATTCTGAAAAATCAATCTTCTCTTCAGCTCTGTCATCTAGCAGCTCGTCAGACATTTAAAGCATCAAATAAGCTGTCTGCCTTTAACCGTTTTTAGAAATTGGGGCATTTTCACAGTTTATCAAGTGACATTAGGACCATTATTATATGGATTGAAAACATAGCTACCGCCAAACAAATGAATGACTGCTACGCTTCTTGAAATATAATCCTTCTGTTCACTTATAGTCAGCACTGGGTAAAAAATAGCTGTGTTTCTTTGAAGGGAACAGATTCCAGGGGAGACGTAGTTAAAAATATTAAGTATCATACATTATTCCAAACATCTGTTAAGTGTTTGTATTGTACATTATGAAAACCTTGATATAAAATGCCACAATTGAATGGAAAAGTATTAAAAATGTCAGCACTATTATATCATTTCTGAAGCCCAATTTGCCTTTTTTTTAAGGTTGTAATGAGCCTGGTTCATTTTGCTTCCTACCATTTATCTTTTCAGTAGTAATGGAAAATTTCCCCCTTAGGCACAGCACGCTATTCTTGTCTTAGACGATTAGGCAGAAATGAAGAAGATCATAAAGGTGAGAGGAATTTTTCCACAAACAATACGATGCCTGGTGCAGTGGCTTGCACAATTCAGGCTCAGGGATTCCAACTGAATTCAAGGATGGTGGTTTTGTGATGTGGCAGAGCTGGTAGAAAACAACAAAACATCTATTTCCCACTGCACTGGAGGTGTGTGGGGATTCAAAGTTCAGACTCGGTCTCAGCCTTTCTTTGAATGCACAATAGCTGTCAAACAATATAATTTAACTCAAGAAGGTAAAGTGCTGATCTGAAATGCATTGAGGCTAGAAAAGCAGGAATGGAATAATTGTAGAGCTATTACATTTAAACTGGTAGAAAAAATGTTTCAGTAATTACTCTTTGTGGAGGATTAGCATTTGTGTATCAGCTGCTTCTGGAACAAAGACAGCTCAGTGGCTGTTATGCCTAAGGAAGCAAAGGTGCTAATTGTACTTTTGAGAAAGAACAGGAAGAGTCCTTGGGTTTGGAGCAGCCAGCGCTGAAAGCAACTCCTGGATCTGCCCCTCTCTGCTAATGCGAATACACAGAGGCATTTAAATGCACTCCCATCTATTTCCTGACCTGCAAATGCATCTGGGTTAGTCTGAACCATATGAAATTGTTATTTGACCATTCTTCACTGACCAAAATGGCAGAGTTAGTTCACAGCCTAAGAACTGAAGCCATAAGATAAAAAACAACAAGCTTCCCGAGAACACAGGGTGCAGTGCCCACAATTCTCTTGATGCTTCTTGGGATGAACATGCAGAGCCTTCCAGGTACGCGCTACTGCCAGTGCCTGGCTGCTATTCGGACTCATGTTAGCTAATCCTGGTGCTTAGTAAGCAAGAATTATGCAGAACTTTGCCAGCAGTATCTCATTGAATTAATCCTTAGAGATCAAGATGGGTCTTACGGTTATTTTCTAATACGGGTTTGCAAATGGAGGTCACGTATCAGGAACTGCTTCAGCAAGGACAGCTGGAGAGAATTTGGTCCTAACCAGCACATTCTATGAGGTCAGAGATCCATGTTCAAGGTCATAATCAGAACTTCCTACTCAGGTCTCCTTTTCAAGCCCTGAAAGTTTGATGCTCACGCAGGAGGGGATTTCTGGAATGCAGTTTGAGGCCTGCAGATTGTGTCATTTGGCTTCCCGCATGCAAGTCCCAGCACTCACTGAGCTGTATGACCTGCCGACATACATCCCATGGCCATTATTTCATTCATTTTCTTTAGATAATATTTATTGATCTTAGAGGCAGCAGTCACTGTTTCAGGCATGTTGCTCAGATACCCCCTTTCATATTCATTTTTACCACTTTTGTACCTTTATTTAAGTTCTCTCCTACATATTTTTTTTTACTTTTTTTTAATCGAAGTGACATCTGATTAAAACACTGCCTATGATTCAGAAGTATCAGTTCACACTCTGCAGATGATGTCACCACACCTCCCCGCCACCTGCGCCCCATCATGCTCCGCCACGGCCCACTGGCCTCCTGCCCGCGGACCCTCCTCACCTGCACGGTCACTACCCCCCTCTGCTAGTTCCAATCTTACAGTTGACTTCTAGGCTTTGGTTTAGTTTTATCTGTGTCTCTGTTTTGTTAGTCTGTGTGCCACATGTGAGTGACATCACCCAGTCCTTGTCTGTCTCCTCCTGACTCATTCCACCCAGCATGTGCCCCGCCAGGTCCATGCCTGTGATGCTGAACCAAACGCTGGTCTTAGTTGCCTCGGACAATAAAAGGAAACATTTAGAGGGACAGGAAAGTAGTTTAATTTGCAGACACAGGGAGGGCAGCAGACTCCTCTGACAGGGCGGGGCTGTCCATTCAGAGGTCCAAGGGTGTAAGAAGGGGAGGGGATGGCCAGGGTCAGCCCCTCACCCTGTGACACACGCCTCTGGGGAGTCTGGGGGGAGATTCTTGGTCTCAAACTCTTAGCAACGATACCAATTTAACCTCTGATCTCCATTTCTTTGATGTTTAAATAGGATTTTATGATTATGTACATGAAAAGACCTGGCAATGCTATAGTCAATAAAAAGTTTACTCCTATTATTGTTTTAATTATATGTGTTAACCGCTTTCTGACAACAACGAACTTGTCCCATAAAGATTTCTGGCCCTAAATGCAGATGAAAAACTGAGCCTTATCCATGAGATTCATTTCTCCAAGACACACATCGAAAGATCCTGAAACCTAAACCTTTTGACTCAAGGCACTGCTTTCCACTCCACCATTATTTTCCCACTGTAAATGTTTATAATTAATTTATAATTTTATCTGATTTTTAAAATTCAATTTTACATTATAGCTCTCTAATTTTTAATTTCCTATACCTCAAATCTCATTGCTCTCTGTGTAATAACTCTCTGTGGTGCCTAATGTACCGCCTCTATGATGACTTACTGATAGTTTTCTGACAGCAACGTTCTTGCTACCTTCTTATTTTCTTATGCAAACTGGATGGATGAAAATGCTTTTCTTCTATTTTTTTTTTCTTTAAATCAGAGGAAGAGAAGAAACTGGGCACAGATAACATGCTGTCTTCCCTTTTCTGGAAGGTCACAATGATGCTGTGAATGCCCTAAGCACCGAAGTGCAATTAAAAAGTGAAAAGAGACGGCTTCTTTCCTGACACGTCATTTTGATCATTCACACATTGCCCAAGTTTCAGGCTGGTCCACCCCTGGAATTCATCCCCTCCATGCTGAGTCCGAGATTTACCCTCAGCCTAGGTGACCCACACACTGCTCACCAGCGGGCACCGTCTCCAACGACTGCTCATGACTGCTCAGTGAACAGGCATCATAGATTGGTCCCTTTTTTTTTTTGGTGGGACCCTCACTGGCGGCCGGGGATCGAACTGGCACTGCAGAGGTTACAGGCAGCATCACAACCCAGCACTCAACCACTGCGCCACCAGGGGAGTCCCCATAGACTGGTCTCTTTAGCTTAAATTTAGAAAACGTTAAAGGGCTATTCCAGCTCTTGAGTTCTTGGTGCGTTCTAGATTAGCCTAGGGCTTTGCTCCTCTCTGATCCAGACTAGAGACAAAAACACACAGCTTCTCCCTTTTCTCAGCTACTCCCTTCATGCCCCCACTGACCAGGATCCAGAGACTGCACGCCAGTAAATTCCCTAACACCATCCTCTATCTCAGAGCATGTTTCCTGGAGAACTTGAGACCTAGGGCAGCCAGGTTTTCAAGAGAAGAGAACTTCTTTGGTGCTTACCTTATTATGATCTAGTGTAGAACACTTTTATGATTCCTAGACTCAGTAGGAGTTATTTTTTTTTTTTTTTAATTAATTATTTTATTTATTTATACATGCACTGGGTACAGTCAGAAGCGCGGGAGGGTGAGAGAATTCACAGAGCCAGAGCGGGGAGCAGAACAGGCAGAAGAAGTACACTGCTGAGGGGAGCAGCAGCGGCAGGAGAGGTCTGCGCGCCATGTGGGACCTCCTCCGGTGGCGGGGAGCAGCGGGGATCGAACCGGCGGTGCAGAGGATGCGGGCAGCTTCGCAACCCAGCACTCAACCGCTGCGCCACCGGGGAGGCCCGACTCAGTAGGAGTTATATTGACTATGGTTAAATTTCTCTGCTTCTAACCATTGCTGTTTTACCAGAATCTCATGATCTCGTCAGTCAGTGTTATGTCATAACCATCCCCTAACAACGGAACACAGATCTCTCTCATCTCCGTTCTAAGTGCCATCCATTCTCATCCTTTGTCTTTGGCCCTGCTGTCTTGGCTTTATTCCATCCATTGAATCTCCACCTTTGGCCTCACATTTGAACCTAGTTAGCATTTGAACCTTGCACGTCGTGCTGGTTTTCTGGCTTTGGACACATCAGGGGACAGACAGCTCATGTTGTTACAGGTGGGCACGCTCGGCTCTTGTTTCCTCTTGGGGCTAAAGTTTAACCCCTGCTCCCTTCAGAGATAAATTCAGTCAACATCTCGGAATATTCTCATGTCAGGATAAACATTGTAATGTCAGGATAAAACACCCTTTGAATGGATCCATCACTTTCCAGATTTCACCGCATGAAGCTAGAATCACATAACATGGTAAAGGTGTTCCTCAAAAAAAAGAAAACATTTAAAAAGTTTTGGAAAAATTGCCTTTCTAAAATCTGTTTTCAGGATTCATATTTTCTTTTCCAAGACATTCTTCATGCTGTCTTCACTGCCCCTAACAACTTCCCAGATCTGAATTGACCATGTTGTTCTTTGTTTCTGTCTTAGACACATAATGGGGAACATCAACCTGGTTCGACCTGTGAACAAATTTCAGCTCTTTGCCTATATCCTTGTGATTTTTCTGACACTTGCATTGATACCAGGACACTTGTACTTCATTTGACTTTTGCCTTTTACTTAAATATTTGGGTTAATTTTATCACACAGGTAGAGGACATGAAAATGACTACAATGACAGTGGTCATACATCATTTCTTTCCTGTGCTCCAGGATAGAGCAGCCCTTGTTGAAGGGAAATTTAATAAATAGGGTCCAGATTGGCCCTCTGGCCTTGTCACGAACATCTCCAGGGAATAAAGAACATAGCTTTACATAAGGCAGACAATTTCACTGCTAGATTGTTCTAATTATTATAAATTGTCTTCATTTTAATTTCTATACACCTTCCCTAGATTGGCTCTCTGGAGCAACATCAAAAGCTAGTTTTATTATTATTACTTTATTATTTTTAATAACTTGTCATCCCATTTGATATTTGAAGGCAACCAATTACCTTACTCAAGACTTCTTGTCTGCAGACTAAATATAGACGAATTATTTAATATTCCACAGATGGCATCATTTGCAGAATCTTTTTATAATGTCATTTTCACATGGACATATGCTAATTTGCAATAATTCCCATCCCTAAATTTTAGCTACTCCTAGATCTTATATTCCTGTAACAGTTTGGACACAACAGAATACTACTTCTTTGTTGTTTCAGAGGAACGGGTGAATTTTGCATTTTCCTCCTAGGGTTTCCCTTTCAATAAAAGATTATATGAAAAAATAGATAGGGCTCCTATTTTTAGTGTGACTATGATTAAAAGACCTCCTGGGCTGTGATAGTTGCATCCTTTTGTGATTTACACACCAGCTGGCATATGTGTCATTTAAGAAATGGGAGCCAGAGGATTCGGAATTGCTAAATAGCATTAGGTCCTCTCTGGGAAATGAAAAGTCAACACCTATTTTGCTTTACTTCCCCAACTTACAGAATTACCACAGTTCTTGCCAATATTTGACATTTTAAACTTCAAACAAATTACCCACAGGCACAAAGCTACTTCACACATATTTTCTTATTTAAACAAAATATGATTGAGAGGAGCTCACTACTAAAAAAAAAAAAAATCACTATTTTTTAAATGGCTGGATGTAGTTAAGATCCTGTATTGAGGGCAGGCACAGTTTGCTAATGAAAAACATAGACTATGATTTATCAGTATATATAAATGAACTATAGCAAATCATGTTTCCTGCAAATACCAAAATTGGGGTAATGATAAGTGAAATGAAAGACTAATTTAGAAGTTTTAGTCTAATTGACAAGGATATTGAGAGCCTGCTGAATTATATTATTGGTTTTCCTTTTAGGTCAGTTTGTCTTTTATCCTAAAGAGAAAAGTACATATAGGTGTGATGCTCAAACCTAGCTGACTGTGCTAACCCTAATCTATCCCATAACTACCTTACATTTTTTTTTTTTTTTTTTTTTTTTTTTAGTATGTAGACAAGTATCTTTGAGTCTATTCTATTTTGTTGGGGGTAGAAGAGGGAAATACATGAGAGAGAAAAGGAATGGATGATTTCTTCATTGTGTCTCCTACACGAGTTCAGTCGTATCTCATTCAAACCAGTATTATGGTGTTGACTTCTCTATTATTTGATTGATGAGAGTAAGAGTGTAGTGAGCAATTCTATTTTTTCTTCAAATACAACCATTGGGTTTGATGGGAAGCCCAGTTTGGGTGACTCTTAGCTCTCTTGGCTCTTTCATTATTGCATTTGACAGCTCGGAAATCTCAAGAACTTATTCAGGTCTCAGAAAAGTTGAAAATTCAAGAAAAATTAAACATATGAGTCCTGACAGTTTAAAAAAGTTGAAGATGCAAATAAAAAAGCATGGAGACAATCTAAGTTGTTCTGTTTCAAATGAAAAGCAAATATAAACAATTAAAGAAATATAAATATGTAATAAGGCAAAATTTAAAAAGATAATAGTAGACATAATTTATAAATACTTTATGGAATCTTAACTTTCAAAGAGAAATTTCTAGAGAGTAAACATTGAGAAACTCCTCATACCTCAATGCATTTTCAAACATTAGATCACACATTTACAAGAGATCTTTCTCCATTGGGATATAAAGAATAACACTACATATACTTAAAAGGGTAAAAGGTGGATATAATACATAATAGTTATCTGCAACTCCTGCCTCTTCACCATAGTCTTAATTTGAAACCAGATATATGTTAGAAACTTAACTCTGATTGGTTTTGTTTATTTATTTTAAATTTAAATTCCTCCATATGCTAAGAATCCAAAACACAACCAAAATAAATGAATAAAACACAAAAACCAAATTCCAAAAGAAACTAAACTGAACCAGAAGTAATCAGAGCACTAAGACATCTCAATGTTTTTCTATATCATGGTGGTCTGTGTACATAAAGGAAGATAGCAGGGGGTGGATTAATATTAACTTAATTAACACTATAAGCTTATTGTAAAATTTTCTGGGTGCCCTGCCCTGGCCTAGAAGGCAAAAGAGTAACTGTCTTCACAGGCTCTGCCCTGAATGTAGAAATATGATGCCTGAAGGTAAAGTCTGTCTTTTCAGATATATATATATATATATATATATATATCTCCAGGCTTTGCATTTCTGCAGTGCATTAACTAGCAAGGGAAAATTAAATCTTCCATTACCTTCCTCTATGATAGGCATACCTTTATGTCAGAACAATTTAGAAGTTTCAGCCCTCTTATCAAGAATATTACATTTGTAATGCCAATGATTCACTCTTCTTCTCCATATAAACTAAATTCAAACTTGTGTTTATTGGAATAGCTCTCACAAAGTAAATCTACAGGGCTGCTTCCTATATTAAAGTCTTCACTTTTGTTATATGATAAACTCTGCACATAACTATCACTTTGTGCTCACACCTGAGCCAACATGACACAATTTCTGTCTTCACCTTGATTTAACACTTCAGTTTAACGCATTGTGTCACATTCAAGAGCCATGGTAATCATAACTTGCTTAATTCTTAAGGACATATTTCGATACCAATAACATCCTAAGGAACACTTGTTGGCCATTTTAAACTGATAACACAAAAGCGAGCAGCTATTCCAGAATGTCACCAATTACCCTGGTACTCCCCATACAACGCTTGGTGACTCCTGAACTGGAGAATGAAGAAAACTTCCCCAAGTCCTGCATGTTCTCAGCTCTCACATCCTTGAATGCCTGACTTTCCATTGTAACCTTCCTTCCCTTGTCCCTAGGAGATGGTTTCTATAGAGTACTGACTTTCGAAAGTATTATGGGGCAGACATACCTACGAAAGAATTGAAGGAATTGTGTATACACACACACACACACAAATATACATAATATATATGCATATGCATCATATATATTTAATTATACTATAAAGGTATAACCATATATGTAGAAAAGATAAATGACTGTAGGATCTAAAATGTTTCCAATTAAAGCATATTACCTAGAGACTAGAGGTTGCCTTTGCAAACCAGAGCAGGTACAAAGAGTAAAAAAATGTTAGAAATGGGAACAGTACAGGACACAAGGGGGAGAATAGATTCTGAACATCGTACATGAAAGGCTCTGTATGATGGCAGGGCTTACACCATATATGAAACTCTGGGCAGGAGAGTGGCCTGCTAATTCTAAGAGTGTTTAGAAACGACCTGCAATGTCACAACCTTTCCATTGGTAGATCCAAGGGACTGGATGTCTTCAAGCTAGATTAAGTCTGGGCTAAGGAGATAGTAAGTGACTTTCAGAAGAGTAGTTTCCATTATGCTTACCAAGTATTTTACTTAAACTTCAAAACAATTGAATTAAAAGCTCAGTTCTATAGATGGTTTTTTAAATTCATACTGTATAGATTCAGGAGCTTGAGGTTATCCACTAAGCATGCTCAGAAGGGTAAGTGATCCTCTGACCCTGGTTGATTCCCTTCTGTAGATCTGTAAGAAAGCTGGCTCCAAAGCCCTGGTTCGCTTTTAAATTGCCTGTCATCTGGAAGTGCCTCGTTTTTAGTTTTTCACTTGCATTCACTGGCCTGGGGACAAATTGTCACTGGTAGTTCCACATTTAATGTTGTGGGCTGCCACTCACAAGGCTGAATTTTGGTACCCCCAATGAAGATAATTAAGTAAACCTCATAATGCTTTAATTGGAAAGTTAGCAGATAATTGCCCATGTAATCATTCCAAGTCATTTTATTATCATTAGTGGAGGATAAAAGTCAGTGGTATAATTCAACATCAAATATTACTCTATTACTGAGATACATTTAATGTTAATGCATCTGTTATATAGCAACTTGAGACTTTTCATCTGTCTGAAGACAAAGAATGCTGATTCTGGACATGAGTAACATCCTTCAAGAGAGGAATACTGTCTCTGAGGTGTCTCATTTACCTGCTTTTATCCATTTCTCTCATTCTCAACAAAACATCCAAAAGTTTTGAATTTTCTTTTGGAATATCTTCCACCTGTAGCATATGGGTAAAAGAAATTGTTTCCTCTAAGAACCGGAGGTAGAGATGATGAAGTCTTAAGTGTTCCATTTTCCTTTTGTGCATCATTT